GGAATTAAAACGTGGCACACTTCACAGTTATTCTCGTTATGCTATTAACATTACATTTGATTGTACATTGATTTGTCTGTGAAATCTACTGTCAGACACCTCTAATACGTTAAACATAAAATGTACTTCAGGAATATTATTTTAGTCAAAGATTCTATTTCTGTATTACAATGATAGTTGTTAACATTACTGATATTATCGTGTATTGTGGAGGGTATAGCAGAGGCACAGGAACAATGCAATTTGACCGTTGACCGATCAGTATCATGCACTTGCCTGGCGGAGTAGATCACCAGCGGAAATCTTCTGTCTTCTGAATGACATGTACCGGTATATATTTAATTGACCATACTAATAATGAGTACACATACATCACGCTGTCAATTAAAACTCATTAGAATTAATCGTTTAAATTTAACAGAAACATAATTCAACACTACCTGCGATTTAACCAAGTTATCTATATTTGAGATCCATCTTATATAAAATCATCGCCATTGAAACAGTGATAAAACAATGAAGATGATATTACATGTTACAATAGGTGTGGTGATGTTGACAATGATCGAAGCTGACATTCCTTTCGAAATGTGGTCTGATCCTCTTTAAAACGGTTTCCTGATGGATGGTGTTCAGTCATATAACAAAAGACCTCCTAGAAGACTCCCATCTACTAAGCGTACAAATGCACGTGCATATGGCATTGTGTCTCTAATTATGACCTCCCAGAACATACATAATCTACATATCACGGAGCTTGTCGAACACTAGTAATTATTCGGAACTGTTCGTATTGTAAGACAGAAAGTAAACCACTTTGTATTCATACCCGACCATGTCTATTATAACGCTGTACATCATGCCACAGCCGGAATGCCTAATTTTACATACTAACCATTATGTATTTATTTATACCACGTTCATCACATGTCCTGGGTTTTTCATTTTAGAATCTATGTCAATGTTTAACTCGCCTTCGACAGGTAATGATCTAGCTGCAGTTGTTCATATATTTGGTAAGTGAACTAGTGATTGGAAAAAGATTTTGTAACATGAAACACAAATTCTAAGACTCCTTCTCCGCGAACACTCTGACCAATCTCGACAATTATACGACACGAAATGATACAGGATGTTTTCAATTTTGTTTTAGTTTTAATAACTGAATTAATTCTTCTTTTTCCCTTTATAGCAACTAAGTGTTATCTCCTATTGATGACCAAAGATATATGTATCCTCTTTGGATGTTGGTAATGTTTGTTTGCAAGGTGAATGACAGTTTGATCATTCATTCTGGCACATAGAAATACCAGTTCAAAAACGGAAGAAAATCACAAACGCTACACATTCAATAAAGTATACGTTTCGACTGGAATGATATCGATGCTGTTGTATTAATTTGACATTATAGATAGAAAGCAGTGAAATGACGATTGATGATTTACGTAAATTGTGGATAAATCGGCGGTAAATGCAGACTGACGGTAGACTGTATGGAATGGTGATCAATGTACAACCAGCAATTGAAATCATGGCGTATTTGGGGAACTTTAAGTGTGAAGACTTTCATATTTGCTTGTCTACCATCAAGGTCCTTAGGTAAAAACGGGGAGGTTTTGTAGGTGTCATATTATAAAGGTCAAATCAACGTGTTTACATCTAAATTGTAAACAATTGCTAGAAGCTTGCGCTACCTGTAGAGAGTTCATAAATATGTTTTTGTCCGTAATGGTGATGCAAACCCTGTCTCCTCGGCAAGGACAAGGACATAAACCAAGAAACTGGTGTACCTGTCAACTACATCTCAGCGCTGGACTTGACGACTATTGACACTGATAGCTATACCCTCACTGCCCACGTAAACAAGCTATACGTTAGTCTTCGTATATAATGATTGATATTGACCACAAAACTAAGGACAACACCCGCCATAACGGATATGTAGGCGGCTTCCTATGACAGACCAAGGGTCATCACTGACTTTATACGTAATTATTTCTGACCAAGGTCATTGTTGCCTATGAATGTACTTGTTACAAAGAGTCACCACCTCCTACGATAAGGTCCACGGGAATAGCGAGGGGGCATGGAACTCTATCGCAAAAACATATTAAAGCCGATATATCGGCCGATGTTGAGAGTAGAAGTTGAAACGTCTGAAAAATTCCAGTTATTTTCTGTTTTGTTATTAGGTATCTCGAACGCTACTACTTGTAACCGTTTTGAATGTTAACATTTAGAAAATAGGCTGCATAAATGATCTGTGCTAAACCACTATATCACTAAACAAGTCAGAATTTCAGCCGACGGGTCCCAGTAGAGCGCTACCCGTAAACCAAGTAGTAAGTAAATCAACCTACTACAATAAGTTGACGAATGCTCTTACATCACCACCAACCCGTGTAGAAAAGGTAAATGTGTACATCAATTTCAATCTTCCTAGTTATTAGTTCTACTTATGTGTTAATTTCTACAACAAATCCAATGTTATGTCACTAATTCACATTTCAACTAGAAATCATTATCAAGACATAACACATTATAAAATAACAAGGTTCTGGCATAAATCGTGTTCCAGTTCCCAAACAGCGATACGAAGGCAGCGACGGAGGACAAGGAGGAGAAAACACTTTCAATTACGTAGCATTGTTAGGTTTTTGGTGGAAACCAATTACATAAATACAAAGAAATGACAGTTCTAAATGTGCATGGATAATATGACAAACCACTTTCTTGTTTATTACCATCTACAATAGTGATGTATTGGAACTTGAGTCGAGAACGACGCGATGCCATTACTGAACAGACTCGTGCCATCATAGAAGCCAACCAGGATCTTCAACATCCTCCGTAACTCTTCTGAGACCAGACAGGACGCTGATAGGGGCATATTTCACGACGAAAATAAACAAAACTTTTGAGTCACAAACTGTACTGATGAAGAAAACGTATGCATATGTGTTCTACTGTCCCTGATTTATACTACTTTTATGGTATACCAGGAAAGATGTTTGTACTTTTCAAAAATAGATCCCTTCATCATACTTTTTTCCGTGTTGTCTTTAATTGAAATTATGCCAAGATTTCTTTTAAACATAATATACATGCTTTACATATGATTTACGGTTCATGATAGTATTTTCATCACAAATATATTTCTTCTGTATATGTGTCGTTAGTGATACTATTGTTCTCTGTTTATCTACGTAACCGTTTAACGCTTGCATATCTACACCGACCACCTCAACACCAAACCAAGCGATACATTTGAACATATTTATAATTACTTGTCTTTTCAATGTGTAAGTCTGCTATCAATTCACTCGGAGTCTGTCCTAGTGTTTCTCGCATTTATATGTGTTGTTTCCAGTTTTCGACGTAAATGATTTTCAAATTGCAGGTGCGTCAATCTGAATACGCCTTACTATTTGTCATTACAACCTGAATTGATTTCAGTGTCTACCAAGATTTAAGATGGTAGGAAATCTACCGAAGAAGCTAGACATTACAGAAGTAATATTCACATAAATGTATTGCACAATCATGATGTCATTCCATTTAATATTCAGTAGGCTGGTTAAGTATAAACGTTAATCAACAATGGACACCGCGTGGCTTCCAGATATGCTGTTTGGTGAGTAATAAGTTAAGTTTGTCTTCATGATATAGAAATATTATTACCGAGTAAGATGTGAGTGAAGTTCGGAGTCTTTTTCGGAATGTGAATTCGGTGTGAATTTGACTTAAAAATTTACACAGCGTGTTTCTTCGATGAAGTATAACAACTGATTGTATTTTGCTAGTGCTCCTTAAATTGCAGTATGCCCTTGTCTAGCAATTTACAATTTTGAATTTATTGATATATTGGGTTTACTTGTCTAAATTTCTGTACTTGAATTTGTGTTTAATGCTGTTCGCAATCGTCATAATGACATGCCGTGTTTATTAACATGTATGCGTCGTCAAATGTATTGAATCGTTTATATGACGGATGACATCTTCTGTAACGTTCCAGTTACACACCTGTCGATGAGCATCCTGGTTCTACGACCAGGTCAGCCTAGGTCGATTCTGATTTCGATTTCGAACTAAATAGAATAACCCTTAAACCGGCGAAGAGATTGTTAACAGAAAACCAAGTATGCTTTTATTCTGATTTGTTAAGTTTTTGTCAGCAAGCGTCCCCAATAAATTTTACTGATATACTTGCTGAATTTCTTTTGATCGTTCATGGCTTTGTAGTGGTGTTCCCACATTGGCTTGGAAATCAAATTTTGTAGGACAAGATAAGTTTTTAACTAATCACAATGTCGGAAGTTTAAAGTCGGATTGTGACCACAGAAATGTATCTATTTGTTTGTTTATTGTTAGGCTATTGTTTTAACCAACTGGAATTTCCACTTACGATAACAGAAAGCGCTCGCTGGACTTCCATTTCTTAACTTAATCGCTGTATTACAACTTACAAACGTATTGATTACCAAAAGAAATAAACCCATACATTTTTGTCATATCTGAACAAACATTAGAAACCATAACATAAAAAGCTTGAAACCTAAAACAATATTTCTTTTTTCTGTTACTGCATTATACTACAAATGTAAAAATAAAGGCGAAATACTAAACAGATCTAGACATATACCTATCACATTTCTGCATTTTATGCCAGTAGTGACCTATCAACACAATCGCAAGGAAATAGGTTGTTGTCATTGTCAATGCAGCATCATTTGTTACAATTTCTATAATATGAATATAAGAGAGCAGTGATCAGTTATCCCTTGGGTTAAGTGTGACGAGTACTTGAAAAGTTTGTTTTTGTTTCTTCTCAAATTAACATGTTTCTTCATAAACTTTAACATAATTAAATACATTTGTACCTCAAAATAATAACATCAGTATCGTATTGTATGATATTTTATTAGTCATGTGCCATTTTATTTCAATGACAGGTAACACAGTCAAAAATAAGCCATGGTCTTGATTTTAGTTTTGGACGATTACAAGTAAGTGTTTAGAGTGTTCTCGTCCCAGGACATCAACGTATCAATGCTGGAACTACAAACAGAAGTATCATTGTCACCCCACATCGTTTGGTCGATCTCGCAATGTTTAGATTTCCAACTGAAATTACCACATCCAAGTGTCGCAGTCCCGTGGAAACGTCCAGTCGAATCAGAATCCACAAAGTTATCGCAAAAATGGAACTCCTCGTTTATAGGTATTAAACATTTCTTACAAAATGTATAATCACTTGCTAACTGATCAGCTTCTTGTTGTCTATCTAAGGAATGTGAATCACGTTTCAAAGTCACGAATCGATTAGATGCACACAAGTCCTGAAGGAAAACTTCGTCCTCCATACCAATCGACTCTTTGTGACTACCTCTGGACGAGAGAGTCCGAGGACTTGCGTTCGGTGATGAACCGGAATAACTACTTGTGTCGAACCCTGAGTCTCGGTGTTCTCTACATTGACTACTTTCCAAGTTCTGTACTGGTGTTAAAAGTGAAAACTGACCAGAATAATGATCCTCAAGGTAAGGTGGTGTGCGCTCTATTTGAACTTCATGAACAATTAAAGTGTGATCTTTAGCAGTCTCCTCCTCTGAGCTGTCACTGTCTTGTGGTTTCTGGGCAATGGGTGATGTTTCAATGATAGAAACTGGATTTGAGGTATGTTCAAGATGTAATGCACTGACATCCATTGATTCATACACATCGCGTGTCTCATCGTCGAGAGTGTCGACCTGTGCATAACGTACTGAAGATTCTTCCTGGACACACGTTACAGTGTAATAGTACTGACAGGAGTCGATGTCCATACTCAGGTAGTCTACTTCACACTCGTTTTCCAGCATGGCATCTAGCGTCGATTTTAAATCTGTGAAGCTCGGTCTCAATTTCGGCAACTCGTTCCAACAATTCAACATGACGTTGTATCTGAAAAAAAATAAAGATAAGAAAATGAAGGCTTAGTAATATTTCTATCTCTCAATCTCAAAACAATAACAATCTTCACTGTATGTACTGTTTAAACAATAATTCCAACTTGAAGATTTATTTCATTGTTAGTGAACGTACAGATGTACCACATCTAAAACAAATACCAAAACAACAATACACTATTACAAAAAAGCAACGTGGCCGCAAAGATACCAAAACAACAGAGAAGCCAAAAGTAACCGATTGTTCAACACAACCAGACACAAATATGATCTCATCGCGTTTCCTCAATTATTAGATAAATAACGTAGATTTCACGGATAGTTTGTCCGATGTCATGACAACGGGCCGCAAAGGACTGATATATGTATGGAGACAAGTAGGACAACCAACCACAACCTTACATTAGCTTGTGCTTTGCTTCTCGTTAACCTTGTGACTCCACATTGACTAGTATCAATGGCTAGGTGGAACCACAAGAGAACCACATATCACTTATCCAAACCGCAAACCGTCCGACAAGTCGGGAGAATCGGGAACGGCCATTTGTTATTCACAAAGAAGACGGCATCTCCAGCTGGGTATGCAACTTCTGTCTAATTCATAACAGCTACACCTACACTCATGTCGCCCGTCAGTGTCTGTTCTTTCCCATCGCATTAACAAACAAATACTGTCATCAAAAAATGTCCTCCCTGTACGTGTAGAAATAAAATACGTATTGCTTTAACTACGTTTTCTTTGTTGTGGACGTCTCGTTAGTAACACAAATACATGTATCTAGTTGTCTTATCTACTTTGTGTGTCAACGAAACGGGCAAACAGGTTGTCATTAACAGTGCCACGGAACAAATAAATTGAGAGAAATCTGTATGTGCTTGTGACAAAGTTTCAAGTTTTTGTAGAATTCTGTAGATGTTATGGACAAGATTTCAAGTTTTTCTAGAATTCTGTAGGTGATTTGGACAAAATTTCACGTTTTCGTATAATTCTGCAGGCGTTTTGGACAAAGTTTCAAGACTCTAGGTATTTTATCACATATTTAGGAACATCGGTTATTCAACTCGTATCAAAGCTGTTATTTATAATAAGTTTACTGTGTACGAAGTAGGGGACCGGTGTGATCCGTGTTCTGGTCGTTTTCTACATTCACATTGAGGTATGCCCTGTGACAACTATGTCTTGCATTCCTCAGATTACACTAGTGCCAAATTCAAAGCTCATCATTACTGACTCTATCAATGCCTTTACTGTCAGCGCTGTTTGAAAAATCGACGAATGAAGATTTCAAATTTTCATTTCGTATCATGAAAAATAAATACATTTCGCTCAACGTGAAATGATAAGATCATAAAAATATAAATCTGAACGTTGTTTAGGGAGTGACAATCAGGCTATGAAAATAGTTCAGTGATGGTGTACACATCACACAATGTAAGCCATTACATCATAAAGCAACCTTTTCAAATATTACATATAAAACGGCAACAAAATTTGAATTTAAATACACTAAGCACTAACCATAAAGTTAAATACAGGCGCTATGTCAAACGAACGATCATGTAGTAGCTATACATATAAAAACAACATAAAACAGACACGCATTCCAAAGGAACAGAATTCTGAAAATTCTGACATGTTTTACAAGTACAAATATATGTAGATTTTAATATTCAAATCATCCGTATCTTGTCTGTCTTTCAGGTGTTCATGAATCCGTTTTAGTTGTAAACGTTGTGTCTACAAACTAATGTCCTCGTGTCTGATTGTAGGAACTACTGTCGTTGTATTTAATGATAGGAACTATTGTGTTTGTGTTTGCTTGTAGGAGGTAATATTTTTGTATAGAGTCATGAGAAGTATTGTCTTTGCATCTGAATGTAGGAACTATTGTCTTTGTCTCTGATTGCGGGAACTATTGTCTTTGTATTTGATTGTAGGAATAATTGTCTTTGTCTCTGATTGCGGGAACTATTGTCTTTGTATTTGATTGTAATAACAATTGTCTTTGTCTCTGATTGTACGAACTATTGTCTTTGTATTTGATTGTAGGAACAATTGTCTTTGTCTCTGATTGTAGGAACAATTGTCGTTGTCTCTGATTGTAGGAACAATTGTCGTTGTCTCTGATTGTAGGAACAATTGTCGTTGAATTTAATGTTAGGAAATATTGTCTTTGTATCTGATTGTAGGAACTATTGTCTTTGTATCTGATTGTGGGAACTATTGTCTTTGTATTTGATTGTAATAACAATTGTCTTTGTCTCTGATTGTACGAACTATTGTCTTTGTATTTGATTGTAGGAACAATTGTCTTTGTCTCTGATTGTAGGAACAATTGTCCTTGTCTCTGATTGTAGGAACAATTGTCGTTGAATTTAATGTTAGGAAATATTGTCTTTGTATCTGATTGTAGGAACTATTGTCTTTGTATCTGAATGTAGGAACTATTGTCTTTGTATCTGAATGTAGGAACTATTGTCTTTGTATGTGACTGTAGGAACTATTGTCTTTGTATCTGATTGTACGAACTATTGTCTTTGTATCTGATTGTACGAACTATTGTCTTTGTATCTGATTGTAGGAACTATTGTCTTTGTATTTAACGTTAGGAACCATTGTCTTTGTATCTGATTGTACGAACTATTGTCTTTGTATCTGAATGTAGGAACTATTGTCTTTGTATCTGAATGTAGGAACTATTGTCTTTGTATGTGATTGTAGGAACTATTGTCTTTGTATCTGATTGTACGAACTATTGTCTTTGTATCTGATTGTAGGAACTATTGTCTTTGTATCTGATTGTGGGAACTATTGTCTTTGTATCTGATTGTACGAACTATTGTCTTTGTATCTGATTGTGGGAACTATTGTCTTTGTATCTGATTGTACGAACTATTGTCTTTGTATTTAATATTAGAAACTTTTGTCTTTGTATTTAATGTAGAAACTACTGACTTGGTATTAAATTTTAGCCAGTACTGTCTTCATATTCCATTGTAGGAACTACTACCTTGGTGTTTAATTGTATGAACTAATTTCTTTGCATTTGATTGTAGGAAGAAGCGTTTTTTGTTTGCTTGTAAATGGTGTCTTTTTCCCACGGGGAGTTAACAATTCAGGGAAACAAAATGAATCAATGGGCATTCTGGACATCAAAATAACTACTAATTTAAAAAGGTAAGTCATTGAATTTGTATTGAATTGATCTACACTGAGTAGGGCCTGATTAAAAACCTTGTGTATTTAAAGTTAATTAAAGTGTGTGACCAAAACTGTTGTGATTATAGTATATACCATTTCTTTATTAACATCACATACAGCATTTTAAAAACGTGCCAAGTTTTCTATGTTTTCCATTATCTTGTTTTGAGTAATGGCAGGTGACACGAACACTAGTCTTGTATTAATTAGTCCCAGCTTACAATGGCCATAAAAGCTGATTGAGATTTCATCGCAAGTATATCTATCTTCAACAAATTTTCTCCGGATTCTTTTTTAAAAATTTCCACAATAATTTAATATATTCTAACCTCTTAGGTGCCATAACAGTTACTGGATTTATCTATATACAAATAATAACAGTAGCTCTAAGCAGGAGGTAGTTTAAGAAAATGTCAATAGTGTAGACAGTGAGAAACTTATCCATTCACATGAAAATGGGGAATGGAAGTCCTGACAGGAAAAAGAAGAAATGACAAATGACCATTTCGGTAGAGATGCCTGAAAGTGTCAATAGTAGTGGTAACAGGAAAATGTCTGTAAGACATGAATACCTTTATTCCCATGCATGCAAGTATCAGTGTTTGACATATTTGTTTTAAACATTTTCTTACTCATATCAAATATATACAGTGGGATTAGGCCCTTTCCCTTTAGACATGTTTTCATATATTGTAACAGTGACCTTGGCCTTGGAAACAGGAACTCATCCAAGGTATCATCCTTGTTGACCTTAAATTGAAATTTCTTAAAATGAGGATGAATGGACTGTACATTTACAGATACTGTTAATGTCAATGATCTCTCTTATTTATGAAATTTGTTACCTGATCACAAGATAAAATATAACTATGCGCCAAAAATATAATATATTTGGTTTTTTTAATTTAAACTCATAATGAAAGCCTTCCTTCAGTAGGCAGCCTATAATTCACAGACATAAATCTTCAGAAAAGTCTTACCTCATCACTCTTCAAAAGGCTGAACTTTTTTTCCAGTTTTAATAATTCCATTTAATTAGATATAGATGTGATTAAGCAATATATACGTGGATATCTGCACGTTTATATGAATCACTGTCATAATACAGGTTGTTTTGATGCCTAAAAAACAGACACAAACACAATAATACTGATTTAGAATTGAGAAATGGATTCAAAATCTGTACACTTGTTATTGTTAATTCTGTATGTGATATTGGCAGGATTTCAATACCCTAATAAAAATATCATCTGACAGGAAAGACAAGCAATGCTGCTTATAAATATGTAGCCATGCTTGGCCTCCAGTGGGAGCTGCAAACTGGACCTCTGATCACATACTCACAAAGAAATAGGTGGAACATCAGGAGAATTACCATGATGTCTAGTGTTTGAACCTGCCTTTGAACTGTGCTCTTAGGTGGGGGCACAAGCCTCCGAACATGATAACTATTATACCACCTTGCAATGAGTTTCCAAAGATGCTCCATAAACATCTGTGGTGGAACTACACAAGGAAAAATGCCGGCTATGTCAATTTACAAGTTGATAGTTTTCTACCATATACTCTGTAAATAAGTTCATCATTATCTCAAGGTATTCCGCAAATGCTGCCTTTGGAATTTAGTGTTTTCCCCAAGTAAATGTATTTGTATATGTTAACAATTCATGTTAATTATGACTGTATCCTACCATTGGCACTTCACTCTCTCTATCAAGTCACCTTTCATGTATGTTCTATTCTTTTTCTCTGTAAACTATCCAAGGTTTCTGAGTTCTTCATTTTAGGGACAA